TCATGAGCGTGTTAACTTCCCTAAATAATTTTGTTTATGAGTGTGTTAATTTCCTTAAATGAGATCAGTTGAGTAAATCACACTAATATACTAAATATTAATAGGAAGTATATCAGTTGAGTAAATCACACTAATATACTAAATATTAAATATATTTTAGGTACATCGTGTTATATCTGACATATATCATGACCATATCCGTGATAAATCAATAAATGGTAAATCATATAATTATATAAGAAGTTATATAAATGGTATATCAGTTGTATATACCAACAATTCCACATGCAATCACATGTATATACCAACAACATATAATAACATCAGTTGTTCATTCTGAACCAAAATTTCGATCTCAAAAACAATTTTTTGTCGTGGAACATCATATAATCATATCAAAAGTATATATATCAATACACATATATCATGTTTTTTCAGAAGTATATCACTGGTAAATTGGAAGTATATCAAGTACATATCAAACAATTATAAATCATGTATTAGTACTATATCAATGGTAAATCTCATATCAGAAGTTATATTAGTAGATCAAGCAATGATAAATCATATAATCACATCAGAGGTTATATTAGTAGATATCATAGTTATATCAAAAGTAAATCAATTGTATATTAGATGTATTTCAAATATATATTAGACATATATCAGAGTTATATCAGTGGTAAATCAATCAATAGTAAATCATATAAGAAGTTATATCTGTATATATCATGATTATATTAGAGGTATACTAGTGGTAAATCAAATACATATCAAGTACATATCACAAATATATCAGTGGTAAATCAGTACATGGTAAATCATATAATCATATAATAAATTATATCAATAGATATCATGGTTATATCAGTAGTATATTGATGGTAAATTAAAAGCATATCAAGTATATATCAGACATATATATTAGTGAAAATCAAAATGTATGATTTTCTAGACTTATTTTTTGATTTCTTGTGTTTGGGTTTGTGTCTCGCAAAATTATCATTTAATATGTGGGCCTTCGTTACTTTTTTTTAAGTGCTAGATTTAAAAAACAAAAAAATGGTTTGCTTATTTTGCTTTTTTTTTTTTTTGCTTTTTTTTGTTATATCTCAAATTGTCCCAATTTTATATTGCAAATTAATTTCATTCATAAGTATTATAATTACTACATTAATATAATTCATTTATGTAAAATAAAATTTATCTTTTCTTCTAAAATATTATTTATTGAAAACTCATTCATTAAAAGCAGAAAAAAAAAATATGATTATTTTGGTGGGAGAAGAGGAGAGAGAAAGCTCGGGAGCGCAACGCGATAATAAAAGAATACAGAGAGAGCGTAGCCATGGTGAGTGCCAATGCTAGCGAAGTGGTCATGGTCGGGGCAGCAAGGATTGGGGGAGGGACAAATTCAGTCTTAATTTACTTTTGAGAAATTTCACCAAATATAAAGTGTTACGAACTTTTTTTTTTAATATAATATTACGAGTTTAATTTTCATTTAAATTATGATATTTTTGTAAAATTTTAAACCTTATGCTATACTTTAAAATACACATTTATTTTAAAGTAAATTAAAAAATAACACAAAAATATGTATTTATAAAAACTTTAAAAAAAAAAAAGATTGCGAAGTTATGCCACCAAAATCCACTTTTGTGATATCTTGAAAAAGAAATGATAATTTTATAAGTATATTTTTATTTCATGCTATTTAGTATAACTTCCATTAATTTTATCATATTTATGTAATAGTTTCACAATGTCTCCCTTAAATTTTACACATCACTGTAGAATTCAATTTCAAAAAATTGCACCAGATCAATAAAAAATTAGCACCCTGAATTAAAATGAAATTTTAAAGTTAAAATATTATTTCTCAATATTTTCCAACTCTGATTCATTTTGATATTTTTATTTAAATACAATAATCAAAATAAACATTTCAAAAATATAAATACTAAAATAAGCTACAAGTTAAAAACATAGAGACAAAAATAAAAATTTTGAAAGTAAAATAACCAAAATTAACAAAAATCAAGAGTCCGGACCAAAATAATATTTCTACTAAATTTAAAGAAAAAAAACTATGGTGCAAATTTTAAAGACTACAATAAATAACTTTTCACCGTGAATTGTTGAATTAGAGATAACCTACTTTTCACTTTTCTATCAGAGAAAAGTTCATAGTAAAAAATTACGGAGTTCATAGTAAAGTACATAACTTTTTCCTCGTCCTGAGCATAGAGTTGGTTGTCCCTTCCCTTCATTAACAATTACAAGTCGGGTAAAAAAACGCAACGATATACACAAGAAAAAAGAGAGAGGAAGAAAACCTCTAGATTTAGAAAATAGACCTTAGTTCTGATGTAGACTAACTAATTTCATAGTAAACTAATTATGATTTTGACCGTGTGTGACTCTTGTGCCCCAGATTATCTTAATAACGTCCGGAAGATGTGAAATAATTACAAATCAATCTAAGCATAGTTCAATCCAATTGTTAAACTAACAAAAAAACGAAACAAAAATACTATAAATCCACTCTATCGGATCAATTGAGCAATATATAATATAACAACAACGCATGGCAAGGAATAAGGATACCTCATCAACTTCGTGCGTGCGTCGGGCAGCATTTAGAAAACGATGGCCAGGCAGAATCTGTTTAAATATCACATCTAAATCCACTACCTTGTCAAGCCATTCGTTACTTTTATCTAAAAGATTTCATATATATTCTACAGCGATGTGAAAATGAATTCACAGCATATGGATAGAAGATAATTACATGTAGTTAGGAATCGTATCCTTGTTCCTCCATAGGACGCCCTGCTCCTGCCCAAAAATTTGATCATCTTCCACATAGCTCCTGCCACACTCCACAGTTTTCTTATTATGTAATCTGTTCCAGGAACGTGAGGTGCCTGAAAAGCACCCCTTGTAAGCAATAAATTTGAACAGTTTCACCAGAACTTTCCCCTACCTCCTTGAGCGTCTGCTGTAAAAGTTTCGTAATTTCAGAGAATTCGGGTCTCAAAGATGGATCCTGCTGCCAGCATTTCTTAAGCAAGTCCACGATCATTGGATGAGCATGCCTCGGAGTCTTAGGTCTCAGACCCTGAGAGTTAAATACATGCACTTTAATATTTCTTACAATATTAATATACCAATATTCCTGAAAGCTTCGGATGGATTTAAATTTAGACCATTCCTGTCATGTTTTCAGTTCTGTTGCATTAGAGTTTACATATCCTTTACGTGTAAATTATAATCAATTATAATCTGCAATATCAACTGCAATCTAGCCTACGTGGAAACTAACGGAATTTCCTTAATGATATGCCTCCGAGGAATAGTCCAGTTGATTTCTCTCGCGGATCGTAAAAGATCCTGATCCACACACAATATGTAGTTCAAACTGAATGTTATGCTTATTAGTTATTAAGGCAGTAAAACGACGAGATGCGATTGAATAGCAGGGGAAGAATCGAAACAAAATGGCACAATTTTCATTTTCGAATATTGTATGAAATTGTGGTAAGAAAATACCTTCTGGACCACGCCAATTGCTGCTTGTAATGGAGTCAGGTTATCATAAGGCAGCTGGCGTTCCAGAAAGATATAGAGAGAGGGAGAGAAAAAAAAAAAGGAAGATCTAGGTGAAAACATGATTTGAGAGGAAGTAAGAAACATGTCATATTGTTAAACAGAGAAGAAATTACCCGTCCTGTTAGCAGCTCCCACAACACTATCCCAAAGCTATAAACATCAGCTTTATGATCATATGGTTTGTGCTCAATAACCTTGCATTCACCGACAAGAAACCACCAAACGTCGAAGAGCAAGGAAAACCCACCACGTTGATAACGAATTGCAACACATTAATAAACTATAAGAGTAACGCATAAAAAACCCAGAGGAAAAAAATTGCATTATTCCATCATTGCTGAATAACATGCCAATTTCATTTCCTCTTGCTATAGCGATGAATCGAGAGTGGAAACATGGTTTCGGAGAGTTCTATGACCCCAAGTTCAAAATTAATTAAAATAATAACTGTAAAATATATTGACGACTATAAATCATTAATGACTCCACAAGGAGAACAAGTTCCTCGCTTTCTCATTTCCTTTTGAGAGTTCTTAAACAACTATTGCACATCCTAAAACTTCCTAGGAACAATTGCCGTTCTAGGTTAATTGAAAAGTAGTACTTAACATGTACCAGTTAGGAGAAAACGAAAAGACAAGGTACACAGAACTCTGTTCAGTTGGACATTGCTTGTGCACCACTTGAAGTCAATAATAGGCTGAATAATATATATGTGCAGAATACAAACCTCTGGAGCCATCCAACGATATGTTCCAGTTTCTGCAGTCATCACACCAGATTGAGCTTGCACTCTGGCAACACCAAAATCAGCTACCTTGACAACCTGTTAAACAATCTGGTTTTAAGGTGGTATAATAAGGAGAACAATCTGATAGAGTAGAAAAAATTCAGAGGCACACTTAAGGAAGGGTACCCCGGGAAATGACTTAGCACGCTAAGATTGATATAAGCTACTCTTCAAAATCAAATAATGATTATACCTATAAATGTTAATCATAGGGAAGAAAAATCACTGGAATTACAAAGAAGACCAAAGCATGCAGGACAGAGTAATGACAGTCAATGTGCCGATTGAAACATGTCAAGGTTCAACCTTTCAACCGCCATACTTTCTCCCAAAACAACTTCCAAGAAAATAACGAGTTTTACAATGATGATATATTTCCTTTCATCCATACAAAGTAACCCTACACTGTTAATGTGGAAAGGAATCGGGTTAATCAAGAGAAAGAACAATACTCGTACTCCTATTTCACGTCACACATAATTGAAGGGTGAAAAGTCAACTACATAAAGATGCATAATATTGCAACCAAATTGAATAGCAGTAAGCATGATTTTGGAAACTAATAATAAACAAATAATCTTGTAAAGATCACTTAGGAAGTAATTAAGCACGTCCTATTGATGAACTTATTAAAAGATCGCCTAACTAATTCAAGCATTTAAAGGCTCTTACCCCATCTTCGTCCATCAAAAGATTTGCAGCTTTCAGATCTCTATGGATGATATTCTTCTGATGCAAATAGTCCATTCCCTTGGACACATCAACTGCCACTCTTAGTAAGGATGGAAAACTAAGAACGCCCTTTTGTTGATGGCAAAAGTCGTGCATGCTTCCACCAGACATGTATTCTACGGAACATAGGTCCTTAATTAATAAAATTATCATACATGCAAATCAGACTTTATCAGCATTATAGCAAAAAAATGTGTACTAGATTACCTGTAACAATGCACAAGCTTGGAGGTCTGGTACATGCACCAATAAATTGGACAACATTCTTATGCCGAATTTTTCTACAGATTTAGAAAATAGAGGGGGTGAGATGAACTACTTAAGAATTGGCAATAGCCTTTTACGTCATAATCGAGGATGATAATACTTCTCTTTGAAGAGAATGATGCAATTTAATTTAATTCAGCCCTTCTTCCACTATAAACTAATTTCATTCTACATGAATATTGAATAATGTGAACTCCCACATACAATTACAGCAGCTTAGAAGGGAAAAACGCTACATGACTATCATCAACATGTACTTTTCTTTCGAGCTAAATTAAACTCTTAACATTAATCTAGATTTTAAAGAGAAGATATACTAATTATATTAGTGACATATATCAATGTATTTAGCGACACTAAAACTAAAGGATGGAGAAAATGACCAACCGAGCGAAGATCTTTATAGGAATAACATAAATTTTACTGGAAAAGATCACCTAATTAGCAAAACTATCAAATCACGATAATAATTTGTAAATGAAGAGAACAAACTAGATACATAAATATAAAAACGAGAAAGCAGATAGCAGAATTGTGGGAAATTAAGTTCGGACATAAAAACCTCATGATATGAATTTCTTGAGCAAATTCCCGCCGCACAGTCTCATTCAAGTTTTCATCTTTGAGAAGCTTAATAGCCACATCTTGACCATAGAAAGTTCCTCTATACCTACATCATTAGCATCACACCTTTCAACAAGAATCCAAGCAAAAATGGTGCATTTCCTAAATTATCCGTAAACTTACAAGTCACTAAAAGATCCAGACACAATTTTCTTTTCATAGATTAACAGGCTCGCATCAATTTCCCAAACATCAACTTCGTCCTTTGGAATGTTGACACAATTTGTAATGAACTTAACTCCAGTTTGATCTTGCTTCCCAGTATGGGAAACGCTCCAAGGTGCAACTGAAGGATGCCTTTTCTGTAAAACCCAAATTATGAAATGCATAGCAAGCATTAAAAAACGAGAAATTACATAGGCAATACTATTCTACAATTATTTACTAATTATAATTCCAACATGATCTTTCTCCTACCGATTCTAATAGCAACTAGGAGACAAAGTATAGCCGTCCATAGAAATGTAACCTTCAACGAGAATGTCTACATGCTACCTGAATATTTGATATTTCCTCAGCCAGTACATCTTTTAGCTTCTTGGTGTCCTAGATTTCAAAATCCATGTAAAAATCAATTCGTATTTAATTGAACAGCAACAATGTTTTAAAACATATAAAAAATTTTGAAATCAAAACATCTCTCCACAATCTAGTCGAGGTTATGTGAAAACGAGAAAAATAAAATATTAGGAAGAGAAGCAAGATTACCTCAATTGCCCAACCATCTACTACAAAAACATCCAAGGAAAAGCCATCTGTTGTTGAAAAAGCATGCGCTTCTTGAATATTCAACTCAATCTCAGAAAGCAAGGACGTCAACTGAAAATGAGATCGTAGAACTTCAGACAACATATGTTACATTATCTCTGCTATGATTGTATGACGTCCAGTTGCATAATTTTAACTACTTTCAATAAATGTATTACCCGCAACTAACTGATTTCAAAATATTATGCCATAAATACAAGCAACGTAACAGAACACAATACACAAACAATCAACCAAGGACATTAGCTCCTCCAAGCATAATGACCATCTTTACTAGTGTATGTTCTTCACCTGTAAGGATGCTACACTCTCCACTGTTTAGAGTACATTTGAAGTTTTGATTTCTAAACCACAGAAACTAAGTGCAGTCTAGGGACTGTAAAATGTGTAAGAAAATTCTTTAAAAGAAGCTACTTGATTCTATGAAAACAAGTTTTAAATTTGAGAGTGAGAGACGCTACCTGACTGAGTAGCTTTGGCTTATCAATTGTTGATATTGTAATTTCATGCATTGGCCTGAAAGTATTGAAATATTCCTTGAGAACAGAAGCATATATAAATTTTTCATTGTAAACCAATCCACAACCATAATAAATGATTCCAGAAAGAAGAATTAATTTTTTTTTCCCTTTGCCAAAAGAGTGTGAAGAAAGGAATATTTTTTTTCGAAGGAGAAAATTGATCTACTGAATGGAGGGAGACCATCATATTCTTATCAAGTGACATGCAAAAATCAATGGAAATTTTGGTGGTATAGAATTTAAAAGTTATGATATGAAGCATCTATTGTACAGATAAAAAAGGGCAAACTGTAGGAACAGAGCTACATCTTCAGATTTCAGAACAGTATTTACCAGGAGAGAGTGCCAGACTGATCTCTATCATGTAACTCGTTGGCTTTAAAACCATATTCAACCTCTGTTGATGAACCAAATGCTGGTGGTGGGTGGTGTCTGCTTATATACACAGAAAAACGAAAATAATAAATATGCAGTTATAATATCCTCGAAGTCCCAAATATACAGCAACGTTCAAATCTTCACTTAACCATGCCTCTGATTACTGGCATAATCAGAAAACCGCTGGTCCACTTTTTCCTTCAAGTTCGAATGGACAGACTTGCCAGAGTTCCCACCAGGAGATGAATGAACCTGCAAAGGGACCAATTTTCATATTTGCATTTTGCAGGCACAAACAAGATAGAATTCTCCTACAGAGTGTTTAAAGTTTAACTTTCAGAACACCGGTAAAGTTAAGTGAAAATTACTTTTCTATCGAAATAATACCGCAAAAAGTTCATTCCCAGAAAAAGTTAAGCAATTACTTAATCATATAAAAAAGCAAGAGATGAAAGTAAGTAATTAATTTTCTTGCTAAATATTCGTTCTCATTCTTGGCATGGTAAATCTCACTTCATCTGTCATACCAAAATCTTTATAATGATTAATAGCTTACAGTAAACATTACCTGTACAAGACGGACATCAATTGCAGGTCGAGCAGCAGGATCATGCGCCATGAAGAGAAGATTTTTGTGCATGAGAACATCTTCAGCCCTCTCTACATTGACGTCCATAGCATACCTTTGACATTAGATTTAACACTATAGTCATACCAAGAGGTCTTAGTAATTTTCAAAGGGAAAAAATAAATCTAATTTTCTTGGAGCTGGAGAAAAGTATCGAATATCAGAACCAAGTCCCACATGGACCACACTAGTGCTTTCTATTGTCAAAGATAGCGATTAAAAACTTCACATCTTGGCATAATTTATTGAGTCAAGATCCAAAGCAAAACTACCCTACTAAGTACTACGTCTACGACCTTGTTGATATTGCTTTCACACACACTAGAATTTTCAAGAATTTTAGTTCTATGAAATTTTGGCCATATCAAATCATAATTTCTTGCGGAAATACTTCGCACTCTACATATTCTGAGAGTTAAAAGCGCCATCCCTCTAGAATAATAGTTTGAATAAATAAGTACGTTACTGATTTAGCCAAGTGAAATGAAACTAATATACATATTTTTTAAAAAAGAAAAAAAAACAGACTCGCGCACACACAAGAATATTACGGAATAATTACTGCATCACGCCGTAACCTTTTTTTACTTTTTCTTCGCGAACACATCTAAGAAGTAGTCGCTGTAAATGTACGTGAACTAGCCTTGACTAGGAAGAAAAATTAGAATAACATAAATTAAAATAAAATTTATAGTTCCTTCGATCCTCCAATTTTTTTTCTCGGTGATCAGACCGCCGCAAAGCATTGATTGATCAGCGCAGGCGTAGCAAAATGGTTTTGCTCTTATCTCATTACACGCAACGTACATACGAAAAGCAACACAGTCGTTAACGAGAGCCAGTATACGACAAACGAAGACGGAGAAACGTGAGATGCTGAATTCAGCTTTCGCGCGAAGAAAAGAGGCAAAAAAGGAGTAAAGCTAGGTTTTAAGCGGATGTACCGAGTAGGAAGGCGATGAAAATGAGCCCAAAGTTCATCCTCAAAACCAGGAACGCTGGTCTCCGCCTCATGCGACACTCTGAGTCGACGAAGAACTTCGTCGTAAACATCAACCTTCTGCTTCTGCCTCCAACTCCGAGTCGAGAAACCATCCACCGCTCTACTGCTGCAGCTCTCCGTGTCGTCCATAGCCATAGCAGAAAAGAACCGCGCAAAAGACGAAATCAAAAGAAATATGATCAGCGAGGGGCTAAATTTCAACGAATACAGAAACCGATGGTTCCAATGAAGAAAACAACAGCGAGAATTAGAGTAAGAGAGGAGAAACGATGAAGTTGGTAGGGAAATTTTGGTGCGGAAATGGTTTGGTTGCTTCCTCACTCGCTCGCTCGCTCTCCGAGTCGTTTTCTTTCCCTCTCTTTGCTCTGTATAGAAGAAACACGAATAAAAAAATTAGTTTGAATGAAGTTGGTAATTGGTATTAGAAAATGGAAAAAAAAATAAAAGAAAAAGAAAAAGGTATTAGCTGTTAGGTCGTGGCGCATTGGGCATCCACCTTCATTGCGCTTGTCGACGTGGATTCTAACAAAACTCCTCCCTGCTTCTGCTTTGCTTATATCACCGCCTTTTTTAATCCACCGAATCTCCCCTCGCCATTCCCATTAAAAATAATACTCATAATAATCAAAATTCACCTCACATTACACCACTCGTTATTTATTAAAAACTATTATCTGGTATTTTAGTTTCAAAATATATTTTTATGCATTTAATTATATACTATATTTTTATCAATAATCATTCAGCAACAGTGAATTAAGAAAATCAAATTTATTCGGCAGAAATTCCAATCTATAACTTCTTATAAAAATCTAAACTACTACCTTTGTTTGTTTAGTCTTCATTTTAGATGCACGAATTTCATTGTGTCTAGTCTTTGTCATAAATTTTTTTTTAAGGCCGTGCGTAAACTTTACCGTAAGATAGAAAATTGAAATTAAAATGTTTAATATACTTTTCTAATCAATCATAAATTTTTTTAGTTCTAGTGAAGTGATGATTCCAACTTCCAAAAATGATAAGTTGATCTTAAATTAAAAGTTTAATAATAAAATAAAATTTAAAAGATATAGGAACTGAAATTTTTAAAAAATTGTTGTTTAAAGCCTCCAATTTTAAATATCGATGCAAATTTTAAAAATAAATAAATAAACAAAAAGGATATTGTCTTGAAATAATTATTTTAAATCAACATGAATGCATCTAATCATGAAATTGATGTTTCTTTGACCATTCTTATTTTGCACTGAGGAGGCCACTAAGGAGGCAGGCATGAATTTGGTTGGAATTCAAAACTTTATTCGTCACGATCCGCAGAATTTTATTTGAAAATAATTCAATTTTATATTATACTATTTTTTTTCAAAATAAATAGTTACGGTGAATTAAACTTTCATTTTTTATATACAAATTTTATAAAACACATAGACTCGTGCTAAATTTTAGAAACGGTTAAATAAAATAAATAAATAATTTAGAACTCAATTTTAGAGGGGGCGATATAGGAGCAAAATCATAGGTTAAAACTTAGTTAGATAAAAGAAAAATGTTGGAAAATGACAAATTTAATGTAAATAATATTTAGTTTGATAAGTTTGAGTGCCATGACTAGGAGTGCCCAATTAGATCGATAACGTCATCATCAACAAACAATTTATTATTATTTTTAGAATAATCAACAATAAACAAGTACATATTCGTTGGCAAATAGCAACGTATTTTATTTGAGGCGTATCCCCAAAGGAACGAAGAAAAAAGAGAAGAAAATCCGGCATGGAGATCCCTCCCACGGATGTTCAGTTCTCAAACTCAACTATTGAATCTTTTATGAAAATTAATATTAATTAAAGGAAAAAACTTCGAATATTCAATCAACCTGGACCAAAATCTCAAAATCTCATAGATCTTATTGTTCATTCCCCTTTTCCTCTCTAATTTTTATTGAACGCGATTTATTTGATAGTTAATATTGAGCATTGATTTTCTCAAACTTAATATATACACTAATTTAGGATATATTTGGGAGTGATTTTTTGTATGACCAAAATTATTTTTGTTAAAATCATTTGAAGAAAGTTTTAAATTACTTTAAATTAAAATTTAAAGTATCACTTAAATATTGATTTTGAAAAATCAATTATATGTAAATCTTTTTTTATTTGAAATCACTCCTTCTCCCCTTATTTCCAAATAGTACACTATTATTAAAATTAATAACTTTTTGAGATATTTTTACTTTTTTAATTGAAAGTATTTGGCGAATATAATAAAAGTTGAGGTTAAAAAAAAAGAACAAAACACTTGCTTAAGACTGGATTCATTGAAAATTTATGATTTTTTTAAATTTATTTGGATAGTTTTCTTATTGTTTGTATAGATAAATTCAAACCCTAATTATCTTTAATTTTCTTTAAATTTCAATATCAAGTTAACACAAATATTACTCGTTTTAGTATAAAAAATACGAAGATGAGTTTGAATTGTTAAGGTAAGTATAGATTTATATTTCTTTAGTTAAAAACCATGTAAAGTGGAGATTCGAACTTTCTAAAAAAATTATACCATAAAGTATGCTACGCCCAAGAGAAAATAATTGAACAGTCATAAAATATTCAAAATTTTATTTTGATTCCATAATTTATTATTCCTTTTTTGGGTCACTTTGTCAACCTCACCGAAACACCTTTTTAAAAAGAAAAAAAAAAATTCAACCAATTAGATTGGCTTTCCCACGCAATGGGGGCACAGTTTGTCATTTATTTTATTCGTTTATTTTGCTCGACTTTATATTAAAATATGTTATTCCAGTTGTTTATTGAAAGTGGCAATGCCAATTGTATATTTTAAAATAAACAGGATTCACGTTTATAATAACATTATAAATAATTAATGATGATGCCATCATCCGCTCAACTTTGTTTATACGAATGTTTTGCTGCCCGAGAATAAAATTGAACCTGTACTCTAAAAAATATATATTTGAATCTTTTTTTTCAAGTAATATAATTATGTTAAACTTAAATCATATATTGGTCATCAATTTCGTTCCCTTGTAAAATTATTGTTTTGTTTTTGGATGATTTTACATATAAAATATTTATCTTTAAATATTGTTTTTTAGAACAACGGAGTAAAATTGTCTGTAGAATAATGAATCCTTGTGTGCTTAAGTGGTTGGTCTTTTAAGCTTATGACAAATTATTACAATATATAGAGAGGAGCTTTTTTCCCTTCAACATTGGGTTGGTGTTCTGTAAGGCCAATCACATTCGATAATTGAAAAGCATGGAACTCTTGTCACAGGTTCATTATAACCCGTAAATATCACTTTCACACATATATATATATATATATATATATATATATATATATATTTTATAAAAAGTTTGAAAAAGTTTGAAAAATCTAGTCAGATAAAAATAACGCAGACAACTAAAAATCTAACCAAATTATAATAATCAAATTCAAACTAATAAAGTCGTAAACAACTTGTTAGAAATTAAACCCAACTATATTTAGTCGAATCAATTAGTCGTAAGAATGAAATTCCAAAGTTTTATTTTTTAGTTTTATTTTGAGGAAATGAAATTAAGAAATAACTACACTAAAGAGAGTTTTAAAAATTCATCTAAAAGAACCGTTGTCTCACTAAGTTGCTATTTTATAATTTCTCAACAAAAAAAAAGTTTACTATTTTATTTTAATTATCCCCTCTTAATTTTCAAATATTTTCTTTCCAACTTTACAAATTCAATTTTTCTCAAATAATTGTCTCCCCAAAAACTTCTGAACATTTCATTATTTTTCTTTTTAACTATTGTTTTTTCTCCACCCATCTAAATTCATCACTAAAATGATCATTTATTTATGTTTATATGGAATTTATGTTTAGAAAGAGAGAGAATTAGAGGGATAAGAATCGAGAAAGAGAAATATATAAATATTGAGAGATTTTATTTAAAAAGATAGATAAGATGAGAGGAATTGAAAGAGAGATTTTTTTTAATGACAAAATTACTCTTAAAAGATAATAGTACTAAAATAATAAATTTCACGAGCATGTAACTAAATGGACAATCATCAAAATTCATGGACTAAATATATAATTTAATAAAAAAATTAAAATATATGAGCCAATTTTAAAATGATGGGGAAATATAAATGTAATTTAAGGAAATTGATGTGTATATAAATTTGGGCATTGGTGAGGTGAGATGCCGCGCTTTAATGGATGCAGTATCTACGGAGGCCCACAAATCCGGCAATATCTCAATGGGAGAATATTCATTAATGCCCGATCCAGACCCATGCGCTATCTACAAGATTAGGATATTTTTTGAAACTAGTAGTGGAAAATAGGGGCTATTTGGGAATTTCCTCTAAAATTTTCATTGAAAATTTTATTTTAAGAGACAATTTCAACGGTTTTTTTTCCATCCAATCTAATTTATTTTAAAATTATTTATTCATCGTTTGAATTTTTTAGTTCACCAACGATAAAGTGGATTAGAAATTCGAATAAAAATTTAATTCGTTTTTACTGGTCAAGTTATGTTTTAGTTTGTTTTATATAAATAATTATATAAATATAAATAATTTTTTAAAAATATAATAGTAAGTATAAATTTTCTATAAATAACATAATTTAAATTTTTTGAACAAAATAACATAACTTAATTTTGAATCAAAACAAAAAAGAATAATAACTTTCTTTTGAATTAAAACCAAAAGTACTAAAAAAGAAAAAAAATCGCATGCGAATAAAAAAATCAACTCTGATATTTTTTTTGGAAAATAGTAAAAGTACTTATGTATTTTTTATCAAATCGAACTCACACCCTTATGTTGGAGGTATATGCCAATTATCGCTGAGCTATGCTCGCTTTAGCGGTTGTTATTATTATTTTTTTCGAAGGAATTTTTTTTAACATTTCTCTTAGATATATATGTAACAAAATAATAGTCATACATACGTGTATTTTGTTTTTTTCATCGCTTTTATTTTTCGAAAAAAAAAATGAGACTAGGTGGTAGGTGGTTGCTTCGTTGGTGAAATAGGATTCTCATTATTCAGGAAAATAACCATTCCAATAAATTCGACATTTTATAACTAAGAATTTCCCAACCCCCTTCTCTTTGTTTGGACTAAAATAAAATTAAAGTTTTTTTTATGCGGGATTGATCTCACAACTTCTTAGTTGGTTTGCTTTGTCAAATCAAAAAGTATATTCGACAATATAATTTTTTTTCCAATAAATGTGTTGTTAACTAATCAACCTAAAAAAAATTAAATTAAATTAATCAACCTCAAGACCTATCTAAAGTGGGGTGTCTTTTTGCTGAGATCCGTTAGCATTGTTAAACTAGTTCAAATGACTTTAGTTTGGCAATTGGATTGTATTTGATTTGAGGAGGATCCATCTAAAATTACTAGATTTATTGTCGTTGGTTGTTCCGTTTCCCCTTTTTAATTTTGTTTATTTTGTAGGCGTCAATAAATTAAAATCAACATGAGATTTTTTTTCTTCTTTTCTTTTTCCGAGTTCTTTAACATGGGATATTTACTTCTATAGCCAACAACAACAGAAATAATTTAATAATAAATTGACTTAAATAAATTATCAAATACCTTTTACAATCAAAACAATATCATTTCATCTTTAATCTATTCAAAATAAAAGTATAAATTTGAAGTAAAATAAAAAAAATAACATTTCACATTCATTGGGACCCCCTCCAACTTGCATCATCCAGTTTGATTATGCATCTTAGGTAAGGCAAAGCGCTTTCTTTTAAGAATGCATCTAAAATCACCCAACTCCATGTTTCCATGTTCAATAATGCCATGAATGAATGAATAAACAACGACAACAGCATCACATAGAAAATATTATTTTATTTGAACGTGCTTGGAATGTTATAAAATCCGCTCTATTCTATCTAATTAACTGTTTTAGATAAAATAAGTTGTATTCTCTAGCATCATTTATATAAATGGACTTAAATATAGTTCAATCGAGATTAAATGAATTAGCAATTAAAAAATAAAAATGGTAGAATTGTCACTTTTTTTTTCCTTCAAAAGTAATAAAACAAACCCTCACAAAACTGGGGTAAACCCAACAAGCTTGAAATTGAAACATTTGAAACGGAGAAGGGAGAGATGAGAAGGGCATTAAAGGCTCCAATGACTGACACAGTTATTAAGAGAGTGCATTAATTAAAGGCGTAGCAGGGCAGTAAGTAATGAAGACCTCGCCGCTTAGAAAAAACTAACCATACATATTTTTAAAAATTATACGTAAAAAGAGATCTACCAGAATTTATAATAAATATATTTTATTTTTTAATTAGGATTATTTAGCCATGCAATACATGAATATCGATATGTGTTTCCCTGATCACACCCATTTTTTTGCTGATAATCACTAAAAAATTTAACATTTTTTTATTATTTTTTCAATGTTTTGTCATCTGTCAGATAATATTCTGATTTATTATTTTTTGTTTCTCATTTTATTTAGATTTATAAGAATCGGTAACTGCTCCTATTTCTTATTTGAATATTGTCAAAGTTAAACAAAATCAAAATTTTTTTTTCTTTAACTCGTTTCCCAAGACGTGCAGTATTATTGATTTATAAAATGCATAGTAATTATTTAAGAATGAATAAAACTTAAAATTTTTAAAGATTTACTTTTTCTAAAAAATAAATTTCATATAAAAATTCTATTTTTTTAAAAAAAATTGAAATTATAGAAAGCAACAAACAATAAATAGTTACAAAAACATGTTTATGTTTCTTTTTTTCAATAAAAAATAAATAATAAACAATTACAAAACACACTCCTATTTTTTGTTTATTAAAGAAAAACTAAAAACAAGACATAGGAAATGAAAATGAGAAATAAGAAATAAGAAACCAAAAACATTAAATCACAATGTACCATTTGATAACATTTTTTATTCTTATTTTTTTGTTTTTTCTTTTTGAATCAAAAAAATGAAATTGTGTTTGTTAATTGTTTTTAGGTAACAATTTGTAGCTTCTTGTCCTCCAAAATTTTATATAAAAATTAAAAATTTAAATTAAATCTTCAATTCATTTATGTTATATTTAATCAATGCCATTTGCTGTGCATTATTATGAATAAAAACGTGGATACAGTAAACACCAACCCGTAAACGAAACAAACAAAAAAAAAAAATAATTTTGTAGTAATTTCTGAAACATTTCTTTGAAACGAGAAACTCAATTTTATATTTCTTGAAAATCGAAAACGAAAAATAAGAAAGAACAAATGCAGAACATTTTAGGGGGCCCTGTCAAAATCTGAAGATTCCATTTCCCCGTTGGTTGCAGTTCTTCTTCGTGATCGCAGTTATTACAAAGCCACGCAGGTCTGAACTTGAAAGTTGAAGCCATGGCCACCGATACGTTTCGAAATACTTATGGCGCTGCTGCGATACGTTAACCATTCCCACTATTTAATTTAATTTAATTTATTGTCCCATTCTACCGCTACATAAATTTCAATAAATCAAAAATAAAAATAAAAAATAGAGAGAATTGAATGCTTTTTGTTAGCTGAGTGTTGAAGTTGGATAGTGAAAGCGCTTTTAATGCAAAACCTAATATTTTAACCTAACATTTCTCTCCTCTCCAAAACCCTAACCCTCCCCTCCCCTCCCTCTCTTTTAAACCACTTTCTCACCATTTTTCCCTTTCATTTCTCTCTTTCTTCTTCCCTTTCAAAACCCTAACAATTGGTGCCTTTGTTTTGGGTATTGAAGGCTTGAAATGGTTTACTCTGATATTGGCCCGGTTCACTCAGATCCAACTTATAATATACCTTATTATATATAATTTGATTGAGCCGTGCCAATATCTCAGTATCC